GAGACGGAAAGCGAGAAATCACCCCCCAAGGCGGGAAGGCCACACCACAATCCCTTCTCCTCCATTCTCCTCTCGGGGTCTTGGGCACACACACCTGTGCACCTGGCGTGAGTTTAAGCCTCCAGGTCCAGGACTCGAACTGTGGTCGACTACATGGGAGTCCAACGACATAGCCATTACGCCATCTGCTGGTCCTGTGACTTTTGTTTTAAACTTGACTCACTTATTTTTTCCATGAGACGAGAGAGAGAGATGAAGAGAGAGAGAGAGACACCCCCAAAGGGTCCCCTGGCTAGTCCTACCCCTGTCCTTAGCCACCAGTCATGGGCACGTGTGTGCCTGTCACATACAGGGAGACCTTGGGACATGAACCAGGGACCTTCCCACGTCCTCTCAGCCTCACTGACCGTTGTGCTACCGCTGTGCCGTGGTGGCCTGATGGGCTGTGGCAGTTCTGTCCCACAGCAGACCGTCCACTAAAACTCCTTATTGGAATTTTGTGTGCTCTCGGGCTGGTTTTGTTTTGTTTTGTTTTGTTTTGTTTATTAAATCTGCCAGCAGAGGGGCCAGCAGGGGGCGGAGTGGTTAAGGTCGCTGCACTCTCACGTGGCTGACTATGGTTCGAGTACCAGATCTGGCAGCTTGCTTTCTCTCTCTCTCTCAATCTCTCTGTCTCTGTCCCTCTCTAGTCAAATTAAAATAAACAAATAAATTAAATTAAATTAAATAATTCTTTCAAAGGAATCTGCCAGCGGACACCACACTTGCCGGAGACAGTGAGGGAAAGTGAGGACGCACCCCTCGGGGGATGGTCACGCCACAGCCCCTTCTCCTCCATTCTCCTCAGGATGTTGGGTATGAACACACGTGAAGCTGCCAGGCCTAGGACTTGGACCGCGCGCGGTGAGCCGTGTGAGATTCCAGTGTCTTAACCACCGCACTGTCTGCTGGCCCTGAATTTCTTTTCTTTTTTTTTCTTTTTGAGAGATTTTTTGCTATAGGGCACATGCACTCGCCAGAGAGACAGAGACGGAAAGCATGAAATCAAGCCATGGGGGGACAGTCATGCCACAGTCCCTGCTCCTGCAGTCTCCTCTTGGGATTTGGGGGTTGGGGGCACACATGCACACATGCCTAGTGTGAGTTTCCAGCTGCCAGGTCCAAGACTCAAACTGTGGTCAACTACATAGGAGTCCAGCACCTTAACCACTATGCCACCTCTGGGTCTCATCTTTTTCCTTTTTTTTTTTTTAACTGAAATTCACAATTACTTTAACCCCCTACGTCTGTGCTGCTGGTCAGGCCGTGTATTCATTAGTTTTTCTAGTACCATCCAGTTTCTGGTGAAAGGTCCAAAAATGAATTGGCTGAAAAAGAATTTCCAGCCAAGTTCAGAGATGACAAACCTGAGGATGCCTCAGTGTGACAGTAGAACATCGATGCTCATTTTCTTTCTTTTCTTTTCTTTTTCTTTTTTTTTTGGAGAGGTTTTTGCTATAGGGCACGTGCGCTCGCCAGACAGAGAGACAGAGAGACAGAAAGTGAGAAATCACCCCCCGGGGGGATGGTCACGCCGCAATCCCTTCTCCATTCTCCTCTCGGGATCTTGGGCATGCACCCACACACGCCCAGCGTGAGTTTTAAGCCACCGGGTCCGGGACGCGAACCGCGGTTAACTACGTGAGAGTCCAGCGACATAGCCATTACGCTAACTGCTGGTCCCATCGATGCTCATTTTCAAGACGATTGTGTCTGGCACCTAAATTGCCTAGCCTTTTGTTTGCTTGCTTGTGGTTTGTTCTCAGCCAGAGATTCGGGCCTTAATCAAGGAAAGTTGTTTGGAGCACCTGTGGTCCTACTGGGTGCAGGGCACTTTTCCAAGCCATGCGCAGGACTGGCAAAGCCCGTAGTGGGACTGATGTTCCAGCCTGGGTGGGAGGAGCAGACCCGAGACCGTAAACCAGGAACCTGATGCATCAAGGACACCTTGCAGGGGGGAAATGAACTATGGAAAAAAATGGAACATGATAGCAGGACATGGCGGGGGGTGGGGGTGGGGAACAGGAAGAGGATGGGAAGGGCAGGAAGAAGCCAAAACTTCATCTCAGAGAAAGGCCAAACATCCACAGACTTGGAGGGACAGCACTGCTTCCGGTCAGCTTCCTGAAAAGAGCAATAAAATAAGGATTTACATCCTCACTTGGGGGCAGAGAGGATGAGGCAGGCTGGGCGAAGCTGTTCTTCTCAGTCACCAGCACTCCTGCTGGACACTGGGTCTCCCTGCTGCTTGGCCCCCACTAAAGAAATATCGAGTTAGGACCAGCAGTTGACTTAATGGCTATGTCGCTGGACTCCCATGCAGTCGACCACGGTTCAAGTCCTGGACCTGGTGGCTTAAACTCACACCGGGCGCGTGTGCGTGCGTGCCCAAGATCCCGAGAGGAGAATGGAGGAGAAGGGATTGTGGCATGGCCATCCCCCCTGGGGGGTGACTTCTCTCTTTCTGTCTCTCTGTCTCTCTGTCTTTCTGGCGAGCGCACTCACCCTATAGCAAAAACCTCTTGAAAAAAAAGTTCATGGGAGGGGCCAGCTGGTGGCCTGGTGTTTAAGGAGACTGAATTTGACAGGGCCAACTGAGTGGTTTGATACCCGGACCTGGTGGCTTGAAAAACATAGTAGGTTCATGTGCATTCTCCCCAAAAGGAGAAATGGGGAAAGGACTGTGGCATGGCCATACCCTGCAGGGGGTGCTTTCTCACTTCCTCTCTCTCTGTCTCTCTCCAGTGAGCACGTGTACCCTCCAGCAAAAAAAAAAAAAGAGTTCATTAAAAATCAAGTTTATTTAGATGCAACATTTTTTGAAATCCATGTAAGGTTTTATCATGGACTTTTCAAAGACCCCTATACACGTGAAGTGCTTGGAATGTGCTGGGCTGAGGACCAGCAGTTGGCGTAATGGCTATGTTGCTGGACTCCCATGTAGTTGATCACAGTTCACATCCTGGAACCGGTGGCTTAAATTCACATCAGGCACGTGTGCGTGCGTGCCCAAGATCCCGAGAGGAGAATGGAGGAGAAGGGATTGCAGCGTGGCCATCCCCCCTGGGGGTGATTTCTCGCTTTCTGTCTCTCTGCCTCTCTCTGTCTTTCTGGAGATCACATGCACCCTATGGCAAAAACGCTCTAAAAAAGAAAAGAATGTACTGGCCCCAGAATACATGCTAAAGAAGAGGTAGCTGTGGGGCCGGCAGGTGACGTAGTGGTTCAGGCTCTAGACCCCCACGTGGTCAATTGCAGATCAGGTCTCAGATCCGGCAGCTTGAAAATCACACCTGGCATGTGCGCTTGCGTGTCCAAAATCCCGAGAAGAGAATGGAGGAGAAGGGATAGCAGCATGGCCATCCCCCGAGGGGAGAGATTTCTCATTTCTCACTCTCTCTTTCTCTGTCTCTCTCCTACCAGTATATGTGTTCTATGGCAAAGACCTATTAAAAAAGGGGTGGGGGATGAGGCCAGCAGGTGGTGTAGTGGTTAAGGCACTGGACTCCCACATGGCCGACTGCGGTCCCAGACTCGATGGCTTGAAACTCACGCCAGGTGCCTGTGTATGTGTGCCCAAAATCCCAAGAGGATAATGAAGGAAGAAGGGATTGCAGCATGGCCATCCCCACCAAGGAGTGGTTTCTTGCTTCCTCTCTCTCTGTCTCTGTCTCTCTAGCAAGCACGTGCGCCCTATAGCAAAAGTCTCTCTAAAAAAAGAAGCGGTAGTTGCTATTATTGCCACCAGCTGTTGACGTGAGCTGGCCTATGAAAGCACTTAGCACGGGACATGGTTGCTCTGCATGTCTACCTTGTCCAGAGAGCCCCAATCCCTGCCCCAGAGCTGGGCTGTCAGCCCACCTTCCTCCCTCCCGATGAGATCTGCTCTGTGCCAGGGCAAGTCACAGGCCCCAGGCAGCAGAGTTGGGGTGCTCAGCCTGAGCGAAGGCCCTGTGGTGGGACCTGAGCAGGGCCTGGCAGCCTCCCCTCTGGGGGCTGGCCAGAGGGACCCGTCTGGTTTGAGTTCCCGGCGCCTCTCGCTCCCTGCATCAACCCACAGCCCAGCTCCAAGCTGCCAGGCCTGTGCCTTATTTGGGTCTTGTCCTCCCCCCGCCCCAGACAACACTTCATGGCCTTAAAAGGCAAGCCCGGGGGGGGGCGGAGAGAGCAGTTGCCACTGCTGGCTCCAGAGCCCCTCCAGCTGCGCCCCCCACCCCTGGCTTGGCCAGCCTGTCCCCTCCAGCTGTGGAGAAAGCCAGGCCCCCAAAGCCAGACCAGCCAGGGCAGCTGCTCCTCAGCGGGGAAGCAGGGTGGGCTCCTGGAACAGGCACCCCTTGCCTACCCAGGCAGCCGGCTTCCCTCTGGTTTTCATTTGAAGCCTGGGCTGGATCCACTTCAGGCTCTTACCGAGTGTGGCAGGGAGATCGTGGACAGTGACAGTCACAGCCGCCTTCGTTGAGTGTCTACTGTGTGTCAGGCCGTGTGTGCGCACAGTGGGTGCTTTGCGTGCATCACCCTTCTCAGGCCTCAAGCCATCCAGGGAGGGACAGAGACCTTAGTAACCTATTTTACAGATGGGAACATAGGCGGGTCCAGAGACAGCAATCTCCCAGGCCAGTATGTGGCAGGGCTGGGATCCGAGCTGGTCCCTTTAGCTCCAAGCTCCTAACCAGTGCAGCTGCTCATGGCCACTGGGGAAGTCTCCAGCCTCTACCATGTCCCCCTCCCCCCCCCACCATTGCCAGCCCTTTCCAGCTCCAACAGCCTTGTTTCAGCCCGGCCCAGTTCATGCTGTTTGACCCAGGTAAATTGCTCCACCTCTCTGGGCTTCTGACTCCCTCCGTACTGAGAGGAGTAGGGATCCCTGCTGGGGCTGCAAGGGCGGTGGAGGGCAAGGGGTCTGATGGGGCGAGGCTGGTGCCGCCCAGCAGGGCTCTCATCCCACTGTCCCTCAGTTGCAGGCTCCTCTGGCCTCGCGGACTCTACGTGGTCGGGCAGCACCATGCGGCGGATGGCACTTCGGCCCGCAGCCTTCTCAGGTGGGTCCTGGCGCAGCTTCTTGGGGGCCCTCTGGGCTGGGGGTACATGTCCAAAGGGCCAGCTGGGTCTAGCAGTAGAGGGTCAAGGACTGCACCCTGACTTCATCCCCGCCAGGTTAGAAAGAGCTCCCAGGCCCTCGAGGGAGTCTGACCTAGGCCCGCACCTCCAGACCCACAGCCCCTGTTCTCCCACAGGCGAGAGTCCCAGCCCCAACTCCCTCTTCTTATTTACGCTTTTCTGAGTGTCTGCAGAGTGCGGGTCTCCGAGCCTGGGGCTGTCGATCATCCGCTCATTTATGCCTCGAGGTGCCCATGCCTGTCCTCCAGACTTCATCGCCTCCATTTTAAAGAGGAGGAAGTTGGGGATCTGAGAGGAGCCAGCTGGGCCTGGACCCCAGACCACGGCCTGTTACTCACTCTCTCCCTTGCTGTGAGCTCTGTGGCCTTGGATGTAAATGGGGGTGACTATTGTAGTCCATTTTGTTGCTAATGGAAAATACCAGAAATTGGGTGATTTATAAAAGTAGAGCTTAGGGGAACCAGCAGTTAGCGTAATGGCTATGTCGCTGGACTCCCACGTAGTCTACCGCGGTTCGTGTCCCGGACCCGGTGGCTTAAAACTCACGCCGGGCGTGTGTGCGTGCATGCCCAAGATCCCGAGAGAAGAATGGAGAAGGGATTGCGGCGTGACCATCCCCCCTGGGGGGGGATTTCTCGCTGTCTGTCTCTATGTCTCTCTCTGTCTGTCTGGCGAGCGCACACGCCCTATAGCGAAAATCTCTCCAAAAAAAAAAAAAAAAGTAGAGCTTAATTCAGCTCACAGTTTGAAGTTCCAAGTCCTGGGCAGTCTTTTTTTTTTTTTTTAAGAGAGATTTTTGCTATAGGGCATGTGCATTCGCCAGAGAGACAGAGACAAAAAGTAAGAAATCACCCCCTGGGGGCTGGCCACGCAGCAATCCCTTCTCCTCCACTCGCCTCTCGGGATTTGGGGCATGCACACACTCGAACCGCTGTCAGCCACGTGGGAGCCCAACACCGTAACCTTTACACCATCTGCTGGTCCCAGGCCTGTGGTCTTACGGAGTCCTGATCACAGACCGTGCCCATCAGTCTCTGTTCCGGGCTCCTTTCCTCTTTGTCATCCTCCCAGTTCTGGGGGCGCCACTCTCATAACCTTAATCCTAGTCTCTCCCCAGAGGCCCAGCTTTCCACACACTCCCATTACTGTAGCTCAACACCTGAATTTGGGGGGAGAACAGCCCAACCAGTGGACTTCCCCCAGAGGACTGGGAACGCGCTGGGCTGGGAGCTGGGTTAGGAGGAGCTGGACGGTGGCCGCGACCCCGGGGAGGGTCACAGATGGCGCCTCGGAGGCCAGCGCAGCCCCCACTGTGGCGGGTCAGTCCCCAAACCTAGCAAGCCCTGGCCCCGCCCAGGTAGGATACAGGATTTCCTGCCCTGACCTCTGGGAAGGGATCATTTTGGAGGCAGAGGCTGCAGAGTCAGGTCCCTGGGCCGGCTCTGGGGGAAGCAAGTCCATTCTGGTGGCTCCAGGGTCAGAGAAAGCCCACAGGCGTGGCTCACCCTGCTGTGACTCTGTCACCCTTTCTCCATACTGGGCTCCCTCATAGGCTGCTAGAGGTCTGTCCCCTCCCTCTACCTCTCCCTCCTCTCACAGACTGGGCCTGGAGTGGGGCCTGGACCCAACCCCCAGCCTCCTTCCTCCCCACAGGTTGTCTAAACTGCAGCAGAGTGTCCGAGCTGACTGAGCGGCTGAAGGTGCTGGAGGCCAAGGTGGGTGAGCACATCTCTCCTGTCTGTGTCCCTGCGTCAGGCCAGGCCGGGCAGCCACCATCCCCCGGCCTTCACCTCCACCCCAGCCCGGTCAGTATGCCCACAGTGTGGCTCTTAGGGTCAGCACTCACCCACCCTCCTCCAGCCTCCCCAGCAGGTCCACCCCAGCTCCGCGGGTTCCCACCCAGGTTTTCTGGCCTGTCCTCTGGTCCCCCTCCCTGGGAAGGTCCCCCCCACACACAGCCTGGCAACCTAGCCTGCACCTCCTCCTGAGGCCACAAAGCTCCCTATCATCCCCACCCCCAGAGCTCATGGCAGGAGCCCTTCCTCACCCTCATCACCTCCCATTTTTATCCTCTCACCCCTGTAATACTGTCTACCTGGTTTCAGGAGCAAAACATCTTTTGAACACCTTAAATGTTTCTAATTTAATGAATTTGTTCCAAAAGAGAGAGAGTGTGACAATACCCCCACAGGGTCCCATGCTGTGATCTACGCCCAGCCTCAGCCTGCCCAGACTACCGGAACACATGCACTCGGCACTTTCAGGGAGACCTCAAGATCCGAACCTGGGTCCTTCCCAGTGGCCTCAGCATCACAGAGCCTGCATTGCTGCTTCGAATTATTTTTAGATATGGTTTTAAAAATGAGAAACAGAGAGCCAGCGGATGGTGTAGTAGTAGGGTGCCGGATTCCCACATGACCCACTGTGGTTCAAGTCCTGGACCTGGCAGCTTGAAAATCACGCTGGGCATGTGTGTGCATGCCCGGAATCCTAGATGGAGAATAGAGAAGGGATTGCAGCACGGCCTGCCTCCTGGAGGGTGATTTCTCACTTTCCCTCTCACTATCTCTGTCTCTTTCCCCAGTGGGCACATACACCCTAAGGCAAAAACCTCTTAAGAAGAAGAAGAAGAAATTAAGAAGTAAGGCAGTAAAGAAAGATCCTAAATTGGGACCAGCAGTTGGCGTAATGGCTATGTCGCTGGACTCCTATGTAGTCAACCGCGGTTCAAGTCCCGGACCTGGTGGCTTACCAGGCGCGTGTGCGTGTGTGCCCAAGATCCTGAGAGGAGCATGGAGGAGAAGGGATTGCAGCGTGGCCATTCCTCCTGGGGGGTGATTTTTTGATTTCTCTCTCTCTGTCCCTCTCTCTCTCTCTCACTCTCTCTCTGTCTAGTGAGTGCACGCACCCTACGGCAAAAATCTCTCCAAAAAAAGAAAGAGCCTAGATTCAGAAACACAAACATGGAAAACCTACTAAAAAAGCATTTGCTGTCATCACCTGTGCTCCGGAGAGAGTGACTGTCAGCATCGAATCACTTTCCTTCCGGATTTCCTGAATAGACATACCACACCTACACTGTGCGAGTGTATTCGCTCCTCTCCCTCTGCGGTTTTACCTGAAGGAGATTAGCAGGTGTGAAGATGTTTACCGAAACATTTCTTATCAGGAGGGACATCTGAAAACCAACCAGCAGAAAGGGCAGTTGTCTAGTTCTGGAGCATGTGCTGGGAGGCCAGGTCCCCTCACGGTCCCTCACCCCCTGGCTAGTTATCTGGCCCCTCGCTCCTCAGTCAGTGGCTCAAGGGACACCACTGACCTTCAGGTTACCCTCACCCTGGACCGAAAAAGGATTTTTTTTCCAGAAGGCGCATGCACTCGCCAGGGAGAGACAGAGAAGGAAAAAGCACCCTCCAGTGGGGTGTGATCACGCCACAGTCCCCCTTCCATTTCTCCATCTTGCTGGGATTTGAGGCATGCACACACATGTGCCCAGAGTGTTTTTCAAGCTTCCAGGGCCAGGATTTGAACCATGTAATTGGTCATGTGGGATGTGGGTCCCTTAATCACTAGACCTCAGGGGCAGACTCTAAAGTAGATTTTGTGTACACCTTCAGACTTCTAGTCCATCTCAGACCCTGCCTCACGCCCCCCCACACTCGGCACAAACTCTCCCCACGGTAGCCCTGCTTCATCTGACCCAGAGGAGCTTCACGTTGTTTATATAGATGAGCTTGAAAACCTGTCATGGCCCAACAGACACGCAACAAGTGAAGAGCTCAGCTGGGGTGGCACATGGTGTGCAGTGACATTTCTCCAGTGGCCGTCATGAATTGCGCACTGAGAAACACAGTCACCTCCTGGCCCCCGGGAGCCCAGGTCTCTGCATCACGTGGGGGTCTGCTGACCACTTGGGCCTCCTACCTTTCACCCCCCATCTGGCTTGTCCCTAGTGAGACCGTGGTTCTAACCCCATCCCTGTCTTCTTCCTCCACAGGTGGCCATGCTGACTGTCACGGAGCAGGCAGTGCCCCCAACCCCAGCTACCCCCGAGGACCCTGCCCTGCTCTGGGGCTCCCCAGCTGCCCAGGGCAGCCCTGGAGATGGAGGCCTCCGGGGTGAGTCGTCAGGCAGGGAGGACACTCCCATGTGGGGATGCGCGCTGGATCTCAATCGGAAATGAGATTCTGGTCCCCTCCTGGCCTCAACTCCCCGCTTGATGGACTTCAGTCTTCCTGTCTCTCCAGTGGGCCCAAGAGGAGGGTCTCCAAGGCCTTCTGGGTGTCGGAGTCCTGGGAGGCCCAGCAGCCCCAGCAGGTCTGCCCCTGGGGTGAGCGACGGATAGGATTTGGGTGACTCTTCCTTCCCAGATGGGTGTTACACTGACCCCTCCCCACCCCACACCCCAGGGCTACCAGGAGCCACGGAGCGCGTGAGGGCCCCGCTGCTCCCTCGAGATGGTAAGTGCTGGCTAGGGGGCCGGGCCGGGGGGTCAAGAGCAGGTCCGGAGCTGCTGACCTGATGCACTTTGCTCCCCAGACCGAGTGGGTGCTCGAGGGCTGCCTGGGCCCACCGGTCCCAAGGGAGACGCTGGCAGCCGGGGCCCGACGGGGATGAGAGGTCCCCCAGGTGAGTGCCCACTATGCTAGCCCAGAATGTGGCCATCCCTTCCCCCAGGTGCTGCCTTCCTTCCGCAGTCAGTGGTCACCTGAGCCCCCCCATCAGTCAGCGGCTCAGGGGGCTCCTCTGACCCTCTGGTCTCCTCCCACCTTCTTCCTTGTCTGTGTGCCGCCCCTTAAGCCAGGGAACCCTGAAGCCCTCTCTGTCTTTTTTTTAAAAGAATTATTTTATTTATTTATTTTTTTTTTTTTGAGAAGTTTTTGCTATAGGGCATGTGCGCTCGTCAGAGTGAGAGAGAGAGAAAGCGAGACGTTACCCCCCAGGGGGGATGGCCATGCCACAATCCCTTCTCCTCCATTTTCCTCTTGGGATCTTGGGCACGCACGCACACGTGCCCGGCATGAGTTTTAAGCCACCAGGTCCGGAACGCGAACCGTGGTCAACTACATGGGAGTCCAGTGACATAGCCACAATAACTGCTGGTTCCTATTTATTTATTTTTTTATTTTATCATAGAGGTACAGAATGAGAGAGAGAGAGAAAGTGAGAAAGCAAGCTGCCGGGTCCGGGACTTGAACCGCAGTCAGCCATGTGGGAGTCCAGCACCCTTAACCACCGTACCACCTGCTGGCCCAGCCCTCTCTGTCTTTAAGTTTATTTTTCTCTTCTATAAGCAGGAGAGACAAAGAGCACCCCCCAGCAGGGCCCCAGCACTGTAATCCATCCCAGCCCCAGCCTGCCCCAGGTCATGGGCACACACATGTTTTCCATACTCAGGGCGGTCTCCAGACATGACCCCAGCACCTTCCCATGTGTTTTGCCACCACATCACCATCTGCCCCACCCCAAAACCTCTCACGTTTACCCTGGTTCCTAGGCTGGGCAGGCTCTGCGCTGGGCACTGGGAAGGGGTCAGACCAGTCCCTCCTCTGCTAGAGCTCCCACACTGGTGAGAGGGGCCGTGATGGAGGAGAAACAGCAGTGCCCCCTCCATGGGACCAGGGGTCCCACACAGGATGCTGGGAAATGAGAGCCCCAAGAAATGCAGTCTCTAAAACCAGCCTGCATGAGATGGGGGACAGGGATGCTGGGAGCTCTGCAGCCCACCCTGATACCCTCTGCCCTAGGCGGCCTGTCTTGCCCTTCAAGGCCACCCAGGCCCTCCCTGCCTCCTGTCACCTACCCACCCACACCTGTGGTTCCATTGCAGGTCCACAGGGTCCCCCAGGGAGTCCTGGCCAGGCAGGAGCTACAGGCACCCCTGGAGAGAAGGGACCACCAGGCCCACCAGGGCCTCCTGGTCCCCCAGGCCCCCCAGCCCCTGTTGGGCCACCACACACCCGGATCTCCCAACATGGTGAGTCCCCCTGAGGTCCTGGCAGGTTGCGCTGAGGGTGGGTGAGGCTGGAGTAGCCATCACTGCTGGGCCTGCCACCATCTACTCTGTGCCTTCTGTGGGCTAGGCTTGCCCTTGGTGGGCCACCAAGGACACACCCAGTGTCCTGCAGGGGCTGCTGTCCTCCTCTGTTCGCAGATGAGGAGCACTGAGGGCCAGAGAGGAACATGCCAGGGTCATATAGCTGAGGTGTGGGGTAGTGGCTTCAACCTAGGTGACCTCCGGAGTCTATGCTCAGAACCTTCCCACATCGGACCCTCCCTGAACTTTGGAGCTGGCTGGAATCCAGCCCTCAGTGTACTGGGAAGCTCAAGGCCGGCTGCAGGAAGCAAGCCCTCCACTCCCAAGGCCACCATCCTGGCCTGTGCTCAGAGAGGCCCAGCCGCCTCCACCAGGCTGGGCTTTGACATGATCTTTCACCTCCTCTCTGGTAGCCCATCTGACCTGTACATGTGCTTCCAGGAATCAGAGCTCGAGTGCCAGGTTCAACCCCATTGACACTGTATCTCCGGTGCACGGCCTGGCACCATTCACTCATTCATTCTCCCGTCCCGTCATTCATTCCATCTCACTGCTCACACTCCTTCTCCAAGCCTCAGGTCTCTCCTCTTTATAATGGGGATAGTGACGGAGCAAGCCTTAGCTCCATAGCATGCATGCACAGAAGCCAGGCTCACTGTAGGTGGTCAGCTTTGCTTTTCTTTTCTTTTTTTTTTTCCCTTTTTGCTTCTTTCTTTTTTGAAAGAAGGTATGTACACTTACCAGACAGAGAAAGAGAGAAACCTCCCCTGCCTCCTCCTGCCAGTGGGGCATGGTTCTATCACAATCCCTTCTCCATTTCTCTGTCCTGAAGCTTTTTATTATTCCCACTGGACAGTAGAGTGGAGAGTCTTGCTGGATGTCACCAACTAGACTGCAGTGGGATTAGGACCCAAATCTCTCTGCCTTCTGTCCTGCGTGGTCAACACTCTCCCCACTCCCTAACCTGGGAGCAGGTGACTGGTGGTCCCAAGCACACTGCGGGCTGCCCCCTAGGGCACTCAGAGCTGTCTTGGCAGAGGTGATGGATGAAGACCAGCTGCCCTGCTGCGTCCATATCTGATTATTCACCATCTTTCTCCTCCTAGGAGACCCGTTACTATCCAACACCTTCACTGAGACTGGCAGGCCATAGCCACCCGGAACCCCCTGACGGTGAGTCGTTCTCCAAGTGCTTCCGCACACACACTCACCCATTCTTCCATCCGTCCTTCCTTTACTTCATTCAACACAAACTGATCGACCATTTAATGCAGACCACCTCCCATAAATCTTTCCATGGAATCCATGCGACACGAAGCAAGTTATGATTATTGCCTAAGGGCAAGAGAAGCCAAGGTTCTTTCCCTGAAGCTGTGGCCCGCATGTGGCGGTGTCCAGCTCTGGGGAAGAGATGCGGTCAGACTCCTGCCATCTGACACTGAGCTATGTGAACTGCCCGCTGTGTACCTGGCCCAGGCCAAGTTGGGGTTCCCTCGACCCTTCTGCCCTCAAGCCTGCTCCACCCTACCCCGTACAAAGCTCAGCTCTTGTCTTGTTGCTCAGGGACCCCCAGGCCCCATCGGACCCAAAGGAATCCCTGGCCACCCAGGAGAGAAGGGCGAGAGAGTGAGTACCCAGGCAGCCCCAGACGGGGTCCGGGGGGTCCGGAGGGCCTCAGGTCAGAGACCCTGACAGCTGATGTCATTCCTTTCCTCCCTCCTGCACAGGGACTGCGTGGGGAGCCTGGTCCCCAAGGTTCTGTGGGACAGCAGGTAAGTGATACTGGCCACCCTCAGCTACCCCTGCAGGGTCCCACAGGCCCAGACTCGCTCTGGCTTCATACCCTGGAACCAGAGCCCCTAGCCCTTCTTGTTTGGTCCAGCGTAGCTCCTTCTCCTCTCATTTACTTCCTCTCTCTGAGACCCTTCATCCTCTCTGTATCAGCCTACCTCCATCTTCCTCACTCTGGCTCTCTGCGTCTCTGTATCTGTGTGTGTGTGTGTGTGTGTGTGTGTTTAATCTCTCTCTCTTTCCATGTGTCTGCCTTTTTTAAAAAAAGAAGTATTTAAAATTTATTTAATTTTATTTATTATCTTTTTTTTTAACATTTATTTGTCATGATTTTCAAGCCACCCAATCTTGGACTTGAACCTCAGTCAGTCATATGGGAATCCATTGCTTTTACCAACCACCATGCCACCTGCTGGCTCCTATTATCATTAGTTTTTAATTTGACCAGAAAGAGAGAGAGGGAAAGTAAGAGAGAGCAAGCCTCCAGGTGCAGGACTTGAATCATGGTAGGCCATGTGGGAGTCCAGCGCCTTAACCACCATGCCACCTGCCAGCCCCATGCGTCTGCCTTTTTTGATTCTCTCTGTATTTATCTCTCTTTCATTCTCTATATCTCCAGCTTTAATGGTAGATTTATCGATTTCTCCCTTTAACTTGGTCCATTTTTGCTTTATGTATTTTGAATCTTTGTTACTAGGTATGTATATATTTAGAATTTTAACGTCTTTGTGGTTATTCATCTTTATGACATTAGCATCTTTATCTCTTGTTTTAAATTTTACTTTGCTGTTAAAGTAGTCATACCAGTTTTCTTATGCTTAGTGGTTGCATGGTGGGTCTTTTTTACTCTTTTGTCTTTCAATCTGTGGCTGTGTATTTGAAGTATATCCCTTATATGTAAATAATGTATACCTTGGGCTTTGTCTTCCCACCACCCCCCAGGGCCTATACACTTTCCAGAAAGAGAGAAAGCACCCATCAGTGGGGCCTGGTCATGCCACAGTTCTTTTCTCCACCATTTCTCTGTTGTGCAAGGATTTGGAGCATGTGTACATACATGCCACATGTGTTTTTCTCTCTTTCTTTTTAAATATTTTGCCAAAGGGATATGCACTTACTGGAGAGACAGGGTAAAGGAGAGCGAGAAAGCATTCCCTATGGGGTGTGAACATGTCACAGTCCCTTCTCCTCCCTCTTCCACAGTTCTTTTCTCCACCATTTCTCTGTTGTGCAAGGATTTGGAGCATGTGTACATACATGCCACATGTGTTTTTCTCTCTTTCTTTTTAAATATTTTGCCAAAGGGATATGCACTTACTGGAGAGACAGGGTAAAGGAGAGCGAGAAAGCATTCCCTATGGGGTGTGAACATGTCACAGTCCCTTCTCCTCCCTCTTTCCCGCATATTTCTAAAGCTGCCAGGTCTGGGACTTGAACTGTGCAGCTAGCCATGTGGGATCCAGCCATTTTAACCACTAGGGCCAATACTCAAACTGCAGTCAACCGTGTGGGATCTGACTCCCTATGCAAAGTACTTAACCACTGGCTATGAGGTCAGCCCCTGTCTTGCTTTTTTAAAACAGTCTGACTGCTTAGTTCATTTATACTTAATTATATGTATAATTCTTGATATGGTTCTGTTTAAGTCAGCCGTCTTACTATTTGTGTCCTATTACCCCATCTGTTCTTCATTTCTTTTTTGTTGTTGTTCTTTCTTTTCTTTCCTTATTTTGGATCGAGTACTTTTTATGATTCTATTATATCTCCACTAGTAACTTTTTAGCTATGCTTCTTTGTGTTCTTTTTTTTCATGGTTGCTCTAAGGATAATGGTATGCGTCCTTGACTTACCACAAATTTACTTGAATTAATATTATGCGACCTCATGTATAATTAAAAACATTACGCATGCTAATTGTTTTCACTCCCTTTTTTCCTTGTGCTATTGCTGTCCTGTTGTATTTCTAGATCTGTTATAAACCCCACGGTACATTATTGCTGTAAGCAGTGAGTTGACTTGTTTTGTTTGTTTGTTTGTTTTTGTTATTGAGTCCATGAGCTTGCCAGAGACAGAGAGAGAGAGACAGAGAAAATGAGAACTCACCCCTGAGAGGGGACGGCCACACTGCAGCCTGTTCTCTGTTTTCTTCTTGGGATCTTGAGCATGTATACACACATGCCCACCCAGAGTTTCAAGCCACGGGGTCCAGGACTCAAACCGCTCAGTTGGCCACGTGGGATCCAGCCACCTTAACATCTGTACCACCTACATTTTTTTTTTTTTTTGAGGGTTTCTTGTTTTTTTTTTTTTTTTTTTTTTTTTTTTTTTTTTTTTTTTTTTCTTTTTTTTTTCTTTTTTTTTTCTTTTTTTTTTCTTTTTTTTTTCTTTTTTTTTTCTTTTTTTTTTCTTTTTTTTTTCTTTTTTTTTTCTTTTTTTTTCTTTGCTATAGGGCGTGTGCACTCACCGGAAAGACAGAGACAGAAAGTGAAACCGGGTGCGGGACTCGAACCATGGTCAACTACATGGAAGTCCAGCGACAAAGCCATTACGCCAGCTGCTGGCCCCCCATGAGATACTTTTATTGGATATAGAATTATAGGATGCTGATGGAAATGGAAAATTGTACAACCATTTTAGAAGACAGTTTCTGGGCCAATAAGTGGTGTAGACTTTAAGACGCAGGATTCAGGAACCAGCAGTTAGCGTAATGGCTATGTCGTTGGACTCCCACGTAGTCAACTGCGGTTCGCGTCCTGGACCCAGTGGCTTAGAACTCACGCTGGGCACGTGTGCGTGCGTGCCCAAGATCATGAGAGGAGCATGGAGAAGGAATTGCGGCATGACTATCCCCCCTGGGGGGTGATTTCTCGCTTTCTGTCTCTCTGTCTCC